CTAGAGCTGAGCCAGCACTAATCGATTGGATCCCCATTCACAGTCAGTTATGTGCTGTTAGATTAGAAAGTTCCATCAAAGTGAGAAGAAATCGGCGCGAGAAACGATGTCTTTTCGTCATCTCCGCCTATGCCCCGACAGATTGCAGCCCGGATGCAATCAAGGATGAGTTTTACCACCAGTTATCTGTTCTTCTCCAGAAAGTGCGTTCGACAGACATTGTAGTACAAGCCGGAGACTTGAATGCTCAGGTCGTGCGTCTAGGCACAGAAGAGAATCGTTTAGGTGGCCGATGGGAACTCGTTGATCGCAGGTCAGATAACGGGGACCGTCCACTGCAACTTTGCACAGACCACAACCTGTTTCTGGCTAGCACTAACTTTCGGCACAGTCATCGCCGATGTGCCACCTGGCGTCCTCCCTCTGCATCCCAAGCCTCGACTCAGATTGATCACATCGCGATCAGCTACCGCTGGCGTGGTTGTGTACAAGACTACCGCTCCTTTTGGAGTACCTATCTGGACTCTGACCATGCCTTGGTCTGCGCCAATCTTGCCTTACTTTTTAGTGGACAACGAAGTGACCGCCACCAACGGATTGATATTAGCAAGCTGGTTGCAACTTCTGTTGCAAGTAAGTATCGAATCGAGCTAGCCTCTAGGCTAGCTACCACTCCACCGAAAAGTATAGATGAGCATTGGTTGCAATTGCATGACGCCATGAAAATGGCGGGTACAGGCAGTTGTGGGTTCGCGAAACGTTCCGCTTATAAGCACTGGGTTTCTTCTGGCTCCTTACAACTCATTGAAGCCCGTCGGTCTACTCCGGGTGACCGTGAGTTTGACCACAAACGAAGGGTGTTACGTAAGGAAATTGGGCAAAGCTTGCGTAAGGACCGAGAAGCCTGGTGGTCGAAGCGTGCTAATGAGCTGGAAGCAGCAGCTGCATCTGGTAATGACCGGAAGCTCTTCCAACTCATCCGAGCCACTGGCAGCAAGAAGTCTGGTGTGAGTGAAACAATCTGTGAGGATGACGGGATGCCAATCACTAACATCCATCGACGTCTTGGACGATGGGCAGAATTTTTCGAAGGGCAGTTCAACTGGCCTGCTGCTCCGGCAACATCGATCAGACTGTCCTGCCCTCCATGGCCTGTGACGACTGATCCACCGAACGAGGAGGAAGTCCGCAAGGAACTCCAACTCTTGAAGCGTTACAAATCACCTGGCCCAGATGACTTACCTCCGGCTCTTTTTAAAGATGTTGGTGACTTTCTGACTAAGGAATTGACGACGCTTTTACAAATGTTTGGGAGTTAGAGAGTGTATCAACGCCATGGAATGAGTCGATAATTGTCCCTATCTTTAAAAAGGGTTCACGTTGTTCCTACAATAACTATCGGGGGATAAGTCTACTTCCGATTGCGTCCAAGCTATTGGCTTCGTCATACTTCGTAGGTTGTTCAAAACCCGAGAAAGATTGACTCGCGAGGAGCAGGCTGGGTTTCGTTCTGGTCGAGGATGTATTGATCATATCTTCACCCTCTGCCAAATGTTAGAACATCGCCATACTTTTCAAAGGCCAACAATCGTAGTGTTTCTTGACATCAGGGCTGCCTTCGATTCGTTGGATAGGACTGTTCTCTGGGATTGTCTATTGAAGAAGGGTGTGCCTGAGAAGTTTATTAACATCCTAAAAGCCCTGTATAAAAACACCTCAGGCAGAGTGAGGGCATACAACCACATCTCTCCATTGTTCCATTCGAGCAGTGGGGTTAGGCAGGGTTGCCCAATCTCACCATTCCTCTTCAACTTTGCCATCGATGACATTCTGGAAACAGCTCTGATGAATGTAAGTAATGGTGGTGTGGATCTGTTGCCTGGAGAAAGACTTCTCGACCTTGAGTATGCGGATGATATTGTTTTACTGTGCGATAATGCCCAAGACATGCAATCCGCACTTAATTGGTTGGCAATCAGTGTCCGTAGGTATGGTATGTGCTTTGCACCCTCGAAGTGCAAAGTACTTCTACAAGACTGGCAGGATTCTAATCCTGTACTCACCCTGGAAGGTGAGCAGATAGACGTAGTTGAGAAGTTCGTGTATCTGGGTAGCTGCATAAGTGCTGGTGGAGGTGTGAGTGATGAGATTAATGCACGTATAGTGAAAGCCAGAGCGGCTTATGCCAATCTGGGCCATCTTTCGCGCCTTTGTCACGTTAGTCTGGATGCAAAAGGTCGAATCTACAACGCGTCGGTGAGAGCAGTTTTTCTTTATGCTTGTGAAACCCGACCTCTCCGAGTTGAGGACGTTAGAAGACTCTCTGTGTTCGATCATCGCTGTCTCCGAAGGAATGCTGACGTTCAGTGGCAACACCATGTCTGTAATGCAGAGGTTCGGCATCGTGTGTTCGGGCACAGAGATGATAATTCAATTGGTGTCACCATCTTGAAACACCGACTTCGGTGGCTTGGACATGTTCTCCGAATGTCGTCCCAGAGAATTCCACGTCGTGCATTATTTGCCGACTCGGGGACTGGTTGGAAGAAGGGGAGAGGTGGCCAGTGCATGACATGGTGTCGTGGCATGAAAGAAAGCTGCAAAGGACTGGCTTGTGTTGGTCCTTCACGACTCCCTGATTGGGGTCTGAGAGATGGTACAACACAGTGGCTAGAGATGTTATCAGATATGGCTCAGAATAGAAGCCAGTGGCGATCATGGTGTGACCTTCTTTTACTTTATTCATAAAACGTGGTTGTATCTTCCTTAACTGAAAGATTTATTTTGATTTTACCCTTCTGTTCCCCTACTATTACTATTATTATTACACTACCTTACACCAATCTCTTCGTTATTATTATTTTTTATATCTTCTTTTTACGCTCCATACGTTTTTCTTTTTCTCCTTCCTAAATTCTCATTGTTTTGTGTGGCGCATATATATTTGACGCACTCCTGTACCAATATATATGTGTTCAAATTAATAAATAAATAAATATCTTAGTACCTAAAGAAGAGCACGAGTGAATCCCCTATGATCTCTAACTATGTATGCTTTGGACCATGTGAAATAGGCAGTTAATAATCTTAAAATGTTGTGGCTCAGTTTTAGTGACATAAAAGAATGAATGATAATGTATATTCTGTGCTACGGTAAGTGGTCACTGAATTCAAGCATCAAAAATTTACGAAACAGTTACTCTGATATGAAGATTGTGTTGGCTATTTTAGCTTAATGAAGGTGAACCTATAAACCATATTTAGAATCTGAAAAGGAATAGTATATATTTTAATGAATTTACCTGTTAAAGGGTTCAAAAATATCTCTGTACACTTCATTTTGCAGATGAAATTAAGACCGATCTCCCAAGTAAATCAATAATTTTCGAAAAAAAGGATATATTCTCATTTGTCATTCTAAACCTATTAGATAAAAAGTTATTGCAAGAAAAACGAATGATAACCATCATAACTAAAATCTACTAAGTATCGCTGAAAATCTAGTGTCAGACAGTACCTGTTGAGAAACGCAAGTAAGTATCTTGAAGCACAACTCGAAGCTTTTTTATTTTGAAACACCATTCTGTTAAATGGGCAAGTTTTAGATATCCTCTTTGCGAAAGTTTTACTCATGGTAATTAATGTTTTGGAATACATTCGAAATGAAACCTAAGGTTTTCTTACAATATAGCTATCAAATTAAGTTAGTTACAATACACACCAGTTTTCTGACTTAACGTTTTCAAAGTTTAAGAACATCAGAAGTTCATCAAAGTTTTCACTTTAATAACCGCGTTTCTTTAATTTAGTCAACTAGGTGATAAACTTTTTATTAGTATAATAAAAATAATGCAACTCATAATACTTACTAAGTTATTGTTTTATTTACCATGAATAAATCTGCATTTGTCTATGGTTTTAATTAGGCTTGGGTTATGAAGAATTTACACTGAACAAAACTTAGATATGGCTTAAAACGTTTTAATACATCTGTGTAAAAAATAACTGGCTATGATGACGATAAAATGTTTGATTTCAGTAGATCGAAAACTATATTCTTGATCATTGTTTTGTCTATAACAAAAATGTCCCAAATATTTTTATGTACGTATCAAGGATAATTTTCAAAGGCATAACTTGAAGTTGATTGGAGAGGGTTGAAAGCGATTCAGTCATACATCTGTTAGATGTTTTCGAAGTTCTAAACCAACTGGGAAAAACTCTCCATTTTCCATATTGTTTCAATGTGGAACTGTGTATCACATGGTGCGAATTATATAATCTGAGAAAGGGGAAGAAAACGAATTATAAGAGAGTATAAAATCACTAAAGGTGAATTTCATTTACTGCTGTAAGACAATTGATCTGAGTTTCTCAACATAATTAATTGTTCCAATTCTCAATATTTGCAATACATTTAATAACTGTTGAAATGTAACACAAAAGTTTCTTAAATATAGGGTAATCTATGTAGAAGAGTTTGTTTCTAAATCAGGATAAGGGCACAAACATTTTTAGATTTCCTAATTTAATTGTTACTCATCATTATTGAATTATATGAATATCGCAATTAACAATGTTGAATTTGAGGACAAACATTATACTTCAGACCATAAATGTAAAACCAGTTCCAAATCATTCTCTTCCAATCAAACCAAAACATTTTTACACCTTGACAATGCGTTATAAAGTCACTGTGAATCTGTTAGTAGTAATGACTGAATACCACCCTATTAGGAATAATATTTTCAATTATCACTGTTCAAGTGTTTCATTTTTCTCAAAATATTCTCATATTACTGAATTTCATAAATTCATTATCATTATCTGAATTTTAATTGACCCTAATAAATATGATAAATCTCAATCTGTCATGCAACTTAATTATAATCTCAAAGTTTCCGCACTAATATTTTTGGAAAGTCTATGTACCTCGAGTTTAACTTCTTCTTCATTAATGGGTTAATTTCATCATCGTTTGATAAGTAAAAAAGTCATATAAAGATGTATATTGTATTTATGAGTATTTATATACATTCATAATACCAAAAAGTAACCGAAATTAACTACATAGTCATTAGATTTTCACTAAGAAAGATGGACTTTGAGTGATTCGGCGATTTCAAAACACGATAGTGAGTGAAATAATAATTCAATAATTTGCCAAACACTTTTAACAATTAAATTTAATTACGACGCATGAAATTTAAAAACTGTTGATAATCCATCCCAACATCTTTGTTAATTTTATTCCTATTCATCCACTCATTGAGTTCAGTTGTTTGTATATCATAGCCCATTTCACTCAATAAACTTACTACTTCAGAAACACATATTTTCCCAGAATGATCCTTATCCATGTCGTTAAATACGCTACGCCAAACAGCTGCCCTGTAAGAAACAAAAATACTAAACTTCATGAACAATATAATGAGACAAAACCTAATACTTATTTGAATTCTCCTGTAACTTTCACACTTGCAATTCGTTTTGTATTATAAAACGAAGTAATTAATATTTAGAAGTAGGTTCACCACTGACAGGTAACAATTGAATAATCAGTTAGAACTAGGAACTATTAAACAGTTGTTCTGAAACTATGATGTCAGTCCATGATAATAACTGCTTTAAAATTAAATTAATATTCACAAACTACTCAAACAGACGGTTTTTATTTAGTCTATTATAACTATCAGAAAAGTCAAGCATATACAGCCGATCTTACTTGACTAACCTGAGATACACAAACTACATGTTATGAACAATTTATGTGAAATCACAAAATAAAATCTCGTTCCCAATGTATATTTTAATGCCTAAGCCTCGATTCGACTAACGTTTAGCCAATGTTTATGTTATCGACAGGTATTATCACTTTGCTTATTGGTCTAATTATAATTTTTAATTCACATAAAAGTTTCTGACTTTCAAGAGTACAAAAAAAAACACTAAAATATAATGAAAAAAATAAACATGGCACAAATAATATATCCCCTTGATACTAAGTACCTACTCCTTTTCTTCTTTCGGAACAATATTTAGTACTTTTTCATATTCTTCTAAAGTTATTTCACCATCTCCATCTAAATCGAATGTTTTGATAAATTCCTGTTGTGTATGTTTTTTTTTCAAAAACAAAGAACGGAAACAAGGATGAAGTTGCTTTAATAAAAGTTGGGTTAACTCAAAATATCCATAAAAATGACATTAGTCTCAATATATTTGTTAAGGTTTGTATTATCACTTCATTGATATTCAGGACCAAATTTTAATAATTCTTCAGTTCATATATTATAAACGTTCTTAAACAATAATGATAATGATAATAATAACAGTTTTATTCAAATTATATGTTCAGTTCAAGTATAAATTTTCAGGATATCGTGCTTAATCATAGAAAGTTTTGAATAATGGCGAAAGATTTATCCGCAACTGATGGGATACCAGAGTTATCAAAGCAATCCACACAGGGTGAACATATATCAAAGAACTGATGAAAATTCAGTCCTGAACGTCAATAAAAATATAACACAAAACCTTATGAAAAAATGTAAACACCATTCTGTCGAACACATTAAAGCTACTTAAACTCAGTGACCTATTGGACAATGAATTGGACTTTGAAGTAGTAAATTCGAGTTTGAGCATGGAAATCAACAGTAATATCCTAATACATCCAACATACGAGCCCCAAACAGGACAAAACGAGCGTTGTAGGTTCCACTGATAGATACAGTATATATACTCGCCTATATTTTCGTGGAATTATCTATCACGTTATTTATCTTCAACGACTGATGTTTTAACTCGACACTGAATCAGTAGTTTCATCTTACAAGAGAACTTCTAACTAGTACCATTGAGTTACTTCCTTTCAGTATAGATCTAGAATGCAAGGTTTAACTGATAACAATACTCAAATTTTATTTGAACGAGTGTGTACTGCTTCAATTAAACGGACTCATTGACCTTAGTTTTAGGTTTAGTGTTAACTCACAATATGTGATTAGATATCATAGGGGAGATTTCACCGCCATTTTCCACATTAGGAATTTCCAGAATGATTACGATTAGTGATGATATTATATAATTTACTGTGACGTATAGCTTAGTCTCATCAAGCCTCACAACTCAGAATGTGGTTACATCATAAACAGCAATGATTTTTAACTCGGTAACTGTTAGTAAACATTTTGGTTCATAGGTCAAATACTCGAAAATAAGGTGCTTACTTTGAGATACACAAGACTGGAAAGATAACATACCTGTCTTAAAAGACTGCAAACTGTCATCCGGAAGATCTGAAACTATTCTATGTATTTTGATGCTTATTAGATAGGTATGCTCATAAGCTTGGGATAGTTGATATTTTAACAGAAAATGGAACCTGAATTACTCGCTTTCCCAGCTAAAGAGACGAAAAGACTGAACTCTTTCGGAATTTGGCTGACCTTATGTAGGACCGACAGGTGGGGTTTTATCGATCAATGAGTGGTAACCTATATCGGACCTAGTCAGGGTTATCCCGAAATCAAAAGACTGCGGGTTAATTTAGTCAGGAAACCAACATGCTATAACCGTGACTTGTACTACTGTTTGAATTTCAGTTTTCCTCGAATGACTATTTGTATTATTTTGATGAGTTTAAACAAAGTATAGCATCCAGTTTAAATTTTCAGAACTTTATTTATAAATTCCTTTCAGACCCGATTGCCGGTTATGTTTGTAGGGGCGTAAAGAAAGTAAACCCTCTGAATAAACTTTTCTTATAACTTATGAATCTTTGAATATTGCATGTATACCAACCTATCTTGTTAGACAGAATCAACGTTTATATCAATAAATTTTTTTGGAGTACTAAAACATAATTTCGGTTACTTTGTTACTCTGAATGATATTTCACAAATAATGGAGTTAGTTAAGAAAATCACCTCGACTTTATAAACTCCATATTCTCAGCATACATTATTGCACGTTTTCTTATTGCGTAAATTCTTATAAATTCAACTAGTATCTAGTTCAAATGTTCTTAAACTAAATATAATGGAAATAATTGATTTGTTAAGAACTTGTACAGCACATGTGATGACTTATTATTTCATTTGATATGCGCTGATTGATTATATGTTAACTCAAGAATGGTGCGGACAAATAGAGTCTTTAGTAAATGTCTGGTATACCTAACTAGTCTTACTTTGAATATTTCATGGTTACCTTATCTGAATGCAGAGTTACCAGGAACAGATAATGATAATAGGGACCAATAAACATACAGTTTCAAGCAATGAATTACTTTTGGCTAACTGTATATTTTAAACTGATAAAATTCAGATAAAGCCTTCATATGGAAACTTTGTATGCATTTATCTAGCATTCAGAAAAGAAGAAAAGCACTTAAAATAGAAGTATTTTAGTTTGTTGACACAAAAAGTCTATTGTATTTACAAATTCCAGACAGCAACAATTAACACAGTACTTTTCGATATAAGAGTCCAACACTGACTTATTTCTCCAAAGAAAAAAATCATTATTGAGGTGAATATATATCAAAAATTTAATTCATCTTATGTATATAAAACATGTGAAAGAGTTGACACTGAAATGAAATAACTTACCGTAAGAAAGGCTTCATTAAATCCACTTAACTTCATACAATGTCTTATTTCTCTTTTTGACAGAGTCCCATTTCCATCTTTATCCATTTGACGAAATTGATCGAGTAAAATTTTTTCATCCATCTTAAAACGTTTTGAATATCAGTCACAGTTTCTGAATAAAAATTTGTTGTTACGTATTTTAATCAAATGCGACTACCCAGTGAATTTTTATCCAGTTTTTCTTTGTTATGTAACTAATTATATCCAACCACGCTGTTGCATGTTTTATGTGACCTTGTGTCGATGATCTTATTGGTGGATGAACAGTTCAAATATTCGTTTGCCAGAAAAGTAAAAAATTTATGCACACACTACAACATCAAATCGCCTTTAATTCATAAATTCCTAGCTTTCGCACTGTGTTCATTTGTCTTTCTATAAGTATAAACTTGTTTTTATTCAGCGGCGCCAGATTTTTATTATTGAAGTTTGATGTATATGTATATATATAGGTAGAATTTCGATAAAATTTATTCTATTCAAGCTATCTTCAAACGTTCTGCATTAGAAATAAAGAGTAAGGATGAGTTTATGAAATTCCAGAAAACATTTTGAGAGTCACTGATAATAATTCATCTAAAAATGTTGACATTCGACTTCATGTTTTCCGGTTTCTATGAAACTGTGATAATAACTGGCTTTATTGCTGTGAATTCCTTTATAAAGCATATCATTTCTTTTCAAGCAGATATTATACTCTTTAAAAGTATTACATCTCAAGGTAAAAAAAGAAGAGAAAATGACTATTTTGTCATTACTTCTGTCTGTTCGGGTGACTTTTATGACAAGTATTATTTAATGACTGATTAGAAAGAGATACTTATGTTTTCTTTTCGGTGATATTAATTTCTGGATGGAGGTTCGTGGAGATTGTTGTATTTTAATAGTTGAATTCATAAGTCAATGTAATCTAGACCACTATTAAAAATCTGGAATCACTACACAGCTGTTTCGACCTAGTATGGGACTCCTCAACAGTGCTCGTCCACGAGTCCACACACAGTAGTCGAACCCAAGACCTTCGGTCTAGCGTGCGAACGCTTTACCTCTAGACCACTGATCCGGAATTCAACGGTGTTAATTTCTAACTTCGATCGATCGTGGGTACGCACTGTTGAGGAGTTCCATACTGAGATTAAATGGCCGTTCAGTGTTTCCAGGTTTTCAACAGTTGTCTAGCTTAAATCGACTCATGATTTCCATAAAATCCAACAATCTCCACTACCCAAAACTGAAAGGTGATTCAGTAAACGAAATTATTCTTGGTACATGATATATACCTGTGTAACAATAAATTAATGAAACAGTTCGATTATATTGGGTTCGAGCTAAGAAATTATCGTGATTCCGATTAGAACGAAGTACATTATGAATCAACTGTGGTGGGTTTTTTGTCACACTGATGTTCAAATTCAAGTTTATTGATTATAAACATGAAAACCGGTTAGTGTAGGTAGCAGCTTGATTTCCTATATCAACTACACTACAATTGTGTTTTTAACTTCATGACTCACAAATAAAATATCCTTATTGATAATGTTCATTCAGTAATTTACCATCACTAGGTCCAATGTTCTAACCACTTAACTTAAATTTAGATCTATAGTACACTTATAAAACATTTCATTCTGACGGTCTTGTAATCATTTGTCCTAACTAGTTAAACTGCACTTGATTTAGCTTATAAAATATTATTGATAACAAGAACTGACTTCAGTTAGACAACCACTGAAAACTTGTAGGCACTGGACACCTCTCCCATCCTAGTATGTTACTCTACAGTAGTACATATCCATGACACCATAGGGGATCAACCCATAGCCCTAGGTCTTGAGAGCTAAAGCCAAATATCTAGATCTCTCGCGAAGCATCCAATGGTGCCCATATATAACTTTGATCATTTCGCGAGATGGTGCGCGAGCACGCCACAGTGAACAAACACCTTTTTGTCCGGAAATATCATTGACGATGTATGATTTATAGTGGCTTTCACTAGTAAATAATTACAGTACTCTCAGTAATGCTTTTACAATTTATTCGCTTAATTTTAGTATCACAGTCGTTTAGAAATTTTTCTGTTAATATGACTGAATGTAATTATTCCTAGACATCTACATCTTGAATAAATTTTCCCCCAATGCTGCCAATGACAATTAATATTAGTACGTTTAATTAATAGACAGTAAACGCTCAATGTTTTTACACCCATATAAAGAAACTTGATATTTTTATTTTTCAATATCAACTGCCCAGCAGTTTACAAAATACAAAAGGATGCCTGCACTCAGGTAATTAGATAAAAACGTTTTATGAGAATGACATACGAAGCACTGGTTAGTCTGTTATGGCTGTTTGTAAACAATTAAATCATATTTATGATATCCATTGGAAAAAGAGCATTGATTAAAATGGTTTGAAGCGATAATTCATTTACTTAAGAGATCGGGTATTGATTAGTATTTTCCGTGTCATATTAAACCCAAAAACATAAAATAATAAAGTGTAATTAATGTGAACATGTAAAATTCTTTGTTTTTGCATCACAAGCTTGTATCAGCCATAGGACTTTTATGAACCAAGTCTGGATATTAAGCTATTTAAGCCGATTCGGTTTATGCCTACTCGATATTTTAGACTCACTATCTCACACATAAACAACCCTCTTAAACCCGAATTCAGCTGCAAAATAGCAACTGAATCAGTTTTCACTAATGGACATTTTCATCGAACACTATCTCAGTAGCTACATGATTTTATTCCAGTTTCAACCCAATATTTGATCTGGGTATGCATTGTTGACTTCCAAAACTATAACAAAACAGCTCTACAATTTATCGTAGCTTACAATGGTCCCCCTGCTTATATCTGCACTATGAACTGTTTTCGAACTGGACAAATTTCTATGATCAACCCAAATGGAAACTAATACATTTTTCTCAAATATGATTACATAAAACGACGCACTAATAAAGTAACCAGAGATGCAAAAAACACAAATTTGCATAAAACATATTTGACGTTATAGATTTATTCCCTCAGAGAACAGAAACTAAAAATAATTATTTCCAAATAATCCAGTTCCATTTTCATTCCAAACGATCAATAAGCAACTTACACAATATCGACACTCCTTCAGCAAACCTAATCGACAGTAAGCTATTATATCAACTGTTCTGTTTAGAATATCCCTCAAGATATAAATAAGTTTTGAATATTAATTAATGATCTGTGTTCGAGAAATGGATAATAATAAAGGAATCAGAGAACCATTCTGCTAAGTACAAAAGTAGTTAGAGAAACAAGTAGATTGTTAATGGTTTCCCTCCGAAAATCTCTAGCCATAGAATTTATAAGCTTTAGAAAAACTAGTAGTTTTTTATTACCATGCTTGTCGTAGATATATACCTTGCTGACAAGGACACAGGGTACAGAAAGGTGCTAAAATAAATAAAACATAATAGGATAAATTAAGTTGTACTTTTTCACGCCTCTATTTTAACCGAATAAATTTTTTTACATCCTTTCGTTCATTTTATCGTTTTGCTAATATGAAGTTCAAACGAAATATGTATTCGATCAACGTTGTTTTCCGTTAGATCGTCATCAAGCTTTACTCTATTGTATTTGAATGTTTATACAGATGTAAGAAAATATCGAACCAGTCAAAATAACTTGTAAGGCAACGATCACAATGAAATAAATTGTATGAATATACCTAATAGGTATACAGTACAAAGGGATGTTATGAAGACAGGTATACTAGTAGTGATAATAATAATAGTTTTAGTCAATAGTTCAACATAGGAAGTAGATCAAACTTGGACGAATAAACTTTAAAATAATATTCGCAAGACTTTATTAAAATCACGTAATAAGAAGTCTGTGAATAATTAGATATCAAAGAATATTAAACGGAAAGAAGAAAAGAATGTCAAATGCAGGATGTAAAAACTCAGTAAAATCATTTGCGAAGTCATAACCACCGAGAGAAGGAGAATGACTCATGAATTTCTCCTGAGTACGCAAACTAGGGTTATAGGTTTCAGTTCCCTGTAGCTTCTACTATCTAAAGGAGACGAAATCAAACCCTGTTGGGAAACGACAATGGCATAAAGTAAATCGGTCGAAATAATTTGGTTTTATTTATCATAGAACCACTGTCAACCAGGTGTACCAAGGTAGATCTATATGTTGTTTTTTTCTGATCCTCTACAAATCAAGCTAGGATATAGGTATCATTACACCAAGCCACGAAACGTCAGAAAATTTAATTTTTCTACTCATTGGGATATGACATATATACTATTTATTTACAAGCTAGGATATGTTTCCTCACTTGATGGTTAAGTTGGCTGACAGTATTCCCCATATAGCTATCTTCTCAGAAGTCACTGAATTTGTAGGTGAACATTGAATAGACAGGCTCAGGTAGCTTATACTTTGTTTAATTAGTTATCACTGATCTACTAGAAAAGACTGAGGTAATAATAAACATCCTCACTAATCTGTCACACGATATCGGTAGCTACATCTTCAATGAATTGTACTAAAGGGGTTTCTTACAAGCAGTTCATATTTCCAAATTCTTTTTCCCTGTATACTTTAGCTTCTTCAAAAAGCCTTTCGGGAGGTTGATTTCCGAGAACTCCAACTCTTTCGTTATGGTGTCATCTGAGAAGATTTGTTTTTCTGCTTGTAAGACATCTGATCAGATTTGTTTTGTAACGGATATGAGTATACACTGTCAAACTGACTTAAGAGTTCTTCTTTACTATTATTCTGATCTACGATGATGATTGTATCGTTAGTGTGACGACATTATAGTTCTAGTTTGCCCATTAACTCATTGAAGGGTTCATTTCCTAATTTTTGAGGTAATCAGTTAAAATTGAACCTGAAAGCGAACCCATATCTATTCCATCAATTCCTACAAGGAATATTGATGAAGATAAATAAACGTTCAGAGTACACTTTATAAGTTCCTCAAGGAACTCAATGCTGATTTGTTTTTCTGATATTTACTTACATATAAACTTTATTATCTCGACTAGCGGTAATTTGATGACTAAAGACATCAAATC